AGTTGCCAAGGTTGAGAAACACTGTACTAGAGAGATATGGCTCCAGTTTCAAAAAGCTGATATAGTCATCAAAGTTGGGAAAACAATACCTGTGTGCCAATCCTAAACACATCGCTGCCATCTCCCGGGATGGAAGGCCACTGATAAGTCCTTCTATCTGAGTGCGAATGCCCCTCATCAGCTCAGTAACCATTGGACTATGGATGCAACTTAAGTTCAGTTTCTCCTGCAGAAATTCAAATCGCATCATTTCGATCAATGCACACAATACGGTCGAAGCTGCGAAATATTTACTGTTCAGTATATAACAAATATAAGTTTGCCCAAGACTAATGCACTACATTGTTGTATACTCCATACTTCTTCCCCAACTGTTTTTGCCCTCCAGTCTAACTAGCCATGAAGGCCAATGTCAAAGGACTTATAAATGACAATCGTGGTTGGTCTCCAGTGTGTCTATTCACTCATATTCATACATGACATAAGAATCAATGGGTTACTGTTAATAATGGGTTTTTATCTTTCTGGGAGTTGATGGCAAGAGGAACTGATGTAATTACTACTTAATGCAATATGATATTGGCTATGTAATAGTATACATGTGATTATATGTTATGAAAGTGGAAAATAAAAAAGTATTTTGAAAAAAAAAAAGAATCAACAAGTTACAAACTTCCAGAAAAAAATGACACCATCAATTCAAACAAGGAGAAATCAGACAGACTGATATAAATATAAATTTTCATTTTTCCTATTGTATAATGCTTATTAAACTAGGACCCTGTGGGTAAATGTCTTGATTTTTCAACTTTTTATCTCGACATAGCTCTTAGTAACATATACACACTTTATAAACCATAACAATAATAGGGTTGCAGAGAATCATACTTAAAAATGGTAAGATTTTAAGAGCTTGCCTTTCCCATGAGATCCTGCAGAAGAAGCAGTTTGCGCCTGTCACCAATCAAAACATGTCATCTGGTGGGACCCAGAAAGCCAGCCTTGTGGTGGGGCTATAATAATCATATTTTCATTAGTTTCCAAGTGCTGGTTTTTGCAGTTGGCCAGGTTTTTTTTAAAACTATTAATTAGCTGCCTAGAATAACTATGAATAATTGCCAGCTGGGATTTCAAATGCTCATTCCTGTCCTCTGCACAGGCCTTTGGAGAGGACAATGTCTCTTTCTTCCTTTCTGTTCCCTTCTCGATTTAATGTCCTTGTTATTAATATTTCTATTTGTCTTATGCTGTTTTTGTGTTTTTTATATAGTTTTAAAAATATTATAAAAATCGTAAACCACTCAAGAGTTGCTAGGAGTTGAGAGGCATATAAATTTAGTAAATTAATATATGGTGTGATGGGGCACCATCACATCATAAATGCATATAGTGTGATGTGCATTGAATAACTGAAGAAATAAGGAAATTATCACAGTGCCTTAGTACATGCTGTTATTGGAATACCACTTAGCCGTTTCAATGTAGATATTAAGACTCACCTTGATTACACCTCCCAGTTTGGCATCTGCTACAGCTAACTGTTCATGGGCATCTTTGGCTACTATTTTCTTTAAGATTTTCTTTAAATTTTTGCTGATTTTTCCTTCTACCAATGCTGTGGATGCTTGAGGAGAAAACAAAAAGCTTCAAAAAAATCTAGAATTTTCTAAAAGACCCAGCCAGAAAAATGATCATGGAATAATAAATATAGTTAAGTTCTAACTGCAAAATACTTTTGATAGGAGAATAATGCACTGACGTTATTAGTTTAGGTAATGAAATGCTTGCAACAAGCAAGCTCAGAAAGTACCAAGCATAGCTCACAAAACAGTTCATTTTCTCTGTTGTCTCAGTGGTAGTGACGAAATGTTGTATGCAATCACAGTGATTCAGTCCACCAACAATACATCATTGACAACAGAAATTGGTAGGAAGCCTGCATCTTCAGTTCTCCGGCCTGTAATCTAGTTTTACTAAAAGCTAGTTAATACTATACAAATTCCACTATACTGAATGTATCTATATATTATTATAAATTTATAAATAAATATATATTTATAAATATATTATAAATTTTTAAAAAACACGATAAAGTCACACAGAAATAGAAGCAGTGAGCACAGAAAGGATAGCAATCATATAGTGTGCGCACTCTCTTTCTCTCAGCTGCTATCAAGCATCTTTACCTAAAACAATATTAAATATATGGGCCTCAATCAAGATCAATGCCACCGGCACAAAAGAAAAGGCTTTTTTCCACCAAGCCTTTTGTTTTTAAGTGGAATTTACCTCCCCCTACTGGTTAATGAAAAGTAAAATGTTATTTAAATAGAGAGAATCCCATAAAAGTACAGTTGCTCCTAACATTCAACTCTGCTTTGAGGTTGGAAAAGGTAGCCATTTTATGTCACCCAATCTGGGTTCAGAAATCATGAGACACTATAGTTTAATTGGATTAACAAAAGCTCTATGGCATTAGACTGGAGGAGGTACATTGTCTGAACTACAATCTTGGCCATGATTCAGTTTGGGATGATTCCAAAGCATAATGACAATACAAATATGCTGCCGTAGCACCAACCCGAGTAGATTATTCTCCCATGCAGTAACCTTATCCAATTTGATGCTCTCCAAATATGTTGGAGATAATGGAAATTATACTTCAAAACGTCTAGAAGAAAGGAAGTTGGAGGAGGCTGCTTTAAATGGTGAGAATGCTTTTGCTAATGGATTTTCTAGAGTTGCATACATTATATTTATTGATGTGTATACTAGCAAATGTGAAAATAGTTGGAAGTGCATGTGTACCTTTCAGGAATTTATTTGCAAAGTTAGACATTTTCAAGGACGTAAGTAAAGCTGTACAAAGCTTGAAAGACTCATTATATAAACTTTGCAAGAAAGGAAGGAAGGTAGGGTACAAAATGACTCAATACAGCATAGGTTAAATGCTACTTCCAAATCCAATTTAAAACAGTAAATTTAATTTACAAAAAATTAAAACTTTTTATCCTGCTCACACGTAATCATTGATCACACTCATTGGAGCTGTTAAGAATTGGAATCCAACATCCCAGATGGCCAGTACTTCTCCTACCTTAAGCAGCTTGTTGTTAAACTAACTGAAGGGCCACCTCCTTCAAGTAAATCACTCTGTTTCTTCTACAATAACAGCTCTAGAAGGTCAACTGATGCATCCCTGAAAATTGCACTCAGTGTCTGGAATCTACTTTTAAGATAATGCTATCCTTAAAAGTAATCAATAACCTTAACAGTAAAAGTATTACCTGCAAGAGCTTCTGTTGTATCTTGAAACTTCTCAAAGTGTTTCAGTTTTACGCTAAAATAAAAACATCAAAATGTTTTTGCAACTATCATCAGGAACTGAGCAATTGCTATCGATTATAAACATTTTTCAGGAAAGTCAAAAATTGATAAGCATGCAATCTCAGGCTTTTTTTAAATGATTAATTAAAACTCCCAGTCCATCAGGTCAGTGTCTCCTATACAAAGAGAAAACTATCTTTTAAAAGATTTTGTTTCAGGTGTTAATTAACTTTTAGGCAAGTTGGCCATCCATCTAATAATTATATGTAGTCCTCGCTTACCAACTCCATTAGAAAACAATTTGCAGTTATGACAGTGAGGAAAAAATAACTGTGACCAATGTGCACATTTACAAACTCTGATTGATCTCTTTCTCAGTCCCATTTGCCATTACAGTCCATTAGTATGTGTTGTCCAATGTAAAATGTAAGTAGTTGAAGACACATGATTTTTCACTTAGTGACCACTTTCCTTAACAATGGAATTTTTGGTCCCAATTCTGATTGCTATAGTGAGGATTATCTGTACAGCCTACTTTATAGAAACCTAACTTTTAGAATAAAGTAGCTTTTTCATTCTAAAAATTCTAAAGTGGCTAAAAATGTCAACCTACTTGTCAGATTTTTTTTACTCCTTTGCAATATAACAGTTTACAGGTGCAATGAAACAAAAATAGGGAACTACAAAAAGAGAAAAAACACAAAACATCAAAAGATACAATGCCAAACAGCAAGGCATCATAATGCAAATTCCCATCAGAAAAACTCAAGTTCACCATCTTCTGGAAGATGGCTAAGACATAATAAAGATAATAAGTTGATTTATAGATGGTTTTTCTATCAATGAGAACATGACTTAAGTGTTTTATATCCTGTATTCAAGAATATAAAGTAATTCCAAAACCCCTTAGAAAAAGATCAAGAAAGACAAAAATCTAATGGCCATGTTCTTGAAATATTTGTCACTATTTCTTGAAGAACTTTACTTACACTTTATTAGCTTTTTCAGGTGTTTCAAACTCTTTCCATAAGTTATCAATTTCTTGAAGCTTTTTCTCATCTATAACCTGTGGTAAAGATAAAGATTAATGAAATATATGCAACATTTGGCAATAAAATATGTCTTATTTGTCACTATGAGCAATTAAAAATGTGAAACAGCTTTGGGTTTTTTAAAAAAGGTCTATTTGATGAACTGTATATCCATGCCACTTAATTTTTCCAACTTCCATTAGAATAAAGTCCAGTGGGAAGTTGTAAACCTTTTTACTAATGTTTATTTAGCTGGGTTAAAACTTGGCTCCAAAATTGTGACTTTGGAATAGCAGGATATAAAAGTGCCTATCTTTTTATTCATAGAATAACCATCTAACCATGGTTATTCTATGAATAAAAAGAGATGAACTTTTATATACTGCTATTCAAAGTCACAATTTTGGAGCCGAGTTTATGAATCAAGCCTAAAATTAAAGTCCATCAGTAGAGAGGCAGGACATATACTGAATGAATACAATAACAGAGTGAGGTATTCCTGCCTCAGACAAGGTTTTTTTTTGGGGGGGGGGGAGTTCCTTCAAGCTACAGAGAAATTAAGTATTACCAAGAATGTCCAGGTGAATTAAAAAGCTTATTTAGATTCAGTTTTAATACAAAATGAGCCCATAATAATATTGCAAGAGAAAGATTAGTTTATCTTTCCAAAATGGATCCAAATTCCTTTGAGGATCCATTTTCCTTGCAACTTTCAAATTCCTTGCAACACACAGTCCATATAATTCACCAGAATTAATTGGCAACAGAACAGCAGGAAGACTAAAGAAAAAAATATATGAGCGCCAAGTTGCATGGGAGAATATAATGCAGGGTTCGGTTTTTGTTTGCAAAAATATACAAGTAGTTCTCAACTTACAACCACAATTGGGCTGAGAATTTATGTTGCTAAGTGAGAAATTTGTTAAGCGAGTTTTGCCTCATTTTACGACTTTTCTTGCCACCGTTAAGTCAATCACTACAATTGATAAGTTGACCCAGGTGTCAAGTGAATCTGGTTCCCCCATTCTGACTTTGCTTGTCAGCAGAAGGGATTACATGACTCTGGGACACTGCAACCATCATAAATATGAACCAGCTGTCAAGCATCCGCATATAAATCATTTGACGGTGGGGATGCCGCACCAGTCATAAGCATGAAAAACAGTCAAAAGTCACTTTTTCATTGCAGTTGTAACTTTGAACGGTCACTAAATGGAACTATTGTAAGTCGTGGGCTAGCTGTAGTTCGTTAGGGAGCTCTCTTTCTTTGGAAGTTACGGAGCCAGCATACAAAAGGTCAAGAGCCCTTCTCGGATTAAAAGCAACTGCCTTAATACCTACCTACCTACCACCCTACCCCTAACCTCCCTACCTCCTTACCACCCTACCCCTTACCCTACCCTACCTACCACCCTACCCTACCCCTTACCCTACCCCTAACCTACCTACTTACCTACCACCCTACCCTACCCCACCCCTTACCCTACCTACCACCCTACCTACTTACCACCCTACCCCTTACCTACCTACTTACCTACCACCCTACCTACTTACCACCCTACCCTACCCCTTACCCTACCCCTACC